TCTGTTTTGTTACCAATCTGCCGACAAATTGTGTCAGCAGATTCTGCTCAGTTTCGGCTGCAATCTGTCGCCATGTTACATGAGCAGGATCTGCTCGATTTCTGCCGCCAATCTGTTGTCTAAACGTGTTATCAAGGTTTGTTATATTTCTGTTGATGTTCTGCCAACATCATGTGATATATCAGAGCTTGTATCAAATCTGTAGACTTTCTGCCGACAAAATTTGGAAACAGAGTTTCCTAAAATCTGTTCTCTACAGGCTTGGGTGTATGGGTGGTTTTCATAAGATATCATGTACGATAACAATGTCGTTGTCACAATCGGTTATATTTAATCATCTACAAAATATAATTTGTTCATTCTGTACGAACAATATAAATTATTTTATGTATAATAATTCTGCTAATAAAATAACTTTAAGAAATGATACGCAAATATTATACTGTTATTATATAATAGTTAAATCATCAAATCTTATAATATTCTATTATAAGTTATTATATTACCACATATCAATTGTTTTTTATCGCGTTGTGATATTTTAATACATAATAAATGGCATTTTTAATATAATTATTAATAAATGAATTATAAGTATAAATAAATTCGTATAATATAATAAATAAACATTGAAATCCGAAAAAATAATTGCATATTTATAATAAAAATAAACATGCAAACATTTTTATACGAGTAATTTATATACTTGTATTACAAAAGTGGCGAAAAATGTTCTCTTTCCATTTTTCCTAATTCTCAATGTTATTGACAATTATTTTTTAGGATATATTTATATGCTTTGGTGATAAATAAAATAGTTGTTTATTTATAATAACATTGTTGGTTCCTTAATCTGTCTCGAACACATTTGGGAATTCTGTCACGTAATCAACCTCTTCTGTGTTAATAAATATGGCTTTTTTGTAAACCGTATTAACATTTTCTAAACTATGGCGTCCATAAACTATTGGTGCACAGGTTTTAATATGTGGACTTTTAGCACCACAAATGTGCCTCACGATAAATTCATTGTTTTCAACATTTATGAAATGCACAAGAACAAATACCTGTTCTCCTATAAGTATTATTCTTTTAATTTTCCCATAAGCACCACTTGTCAGTATGACTGTTGTATCATCAGATTTTGTTCCTTTCTTGCGGTAACAATTTGCATGGAACTTCGTTCCATCTTTTATCATACGTTCATAAGTCAGATTTGTCACTTCAATTCGAGCTTCAAAGAATGCATTTTGTTCTTCTTCTGTCAGTGTGACTGACATGGGGTTATTTAAAAGGGTCACACCATTCACTTTTGATGCAATTGTCACATGTATGTAAGCAAATACGAACAAAATGAAATAACATTTTTGTTAGCACCATATACGTGTATAGCTCTTGGTATATTTTTAAATCTAGAATACTTTTGTGAAATTTGACTCATTACACCCCTTGTTCCTTTAACCAAACGTGCTAGAGAACCATTAAAAGATTCAAAACAAAAGAGAGAATTAGCCCACAAAGGTCCCATTAATTTCACACATTTACCAATGTGAAGAAGGAGATGAATATTGTAATGCATATTCTTCTTTCCATATAGAGCTTGAAACTCTGTGACATACTGACCACACATCCATGTTGCCTCATCTAATTCTTCAGGCTCAATACTATCCTTTAGAAAGACAAAAAGAATGCTTACTAATATGCAATGATGTTTTAAATACAAAGCTGGAAGAATACTCTTTAAAACTGGTACACTGCAAAATAACAGCCATGTTCGCCATTCACTACCTTTCCAATGACTTCTGTCTTCTATATTTAAGTCTCCTCAATTTAGCAGGCAACTTTAATTTTGACAAGTTATTATTTACAAGTTTTCTTTTTGTCTTTGACAAATAGTAAGGTTTATCTTTTGATGTGGAATCAAACCATAAGTTTGCAACTGACTTTACAACACCTAGGCAAACAGCATGTAACCAATCAATCCCAAAACCAAACACTACGTCAAAATATGTCAAAATAAATAAGCTACTCATTCCCTTAACTCCTTTGATGTCAAATTTAGGACTATCTTCCCTTAAATTTTCAGCTTTTTTCATGTCAGAACGCTTTTCTTCATTTGAACGGTCTTTCACATGAAACAATTTATGTTGACCATTTTTATCTTTTTGGTCAACCGTGTACTCAAAGCTAAGGTCATTCATGAGCATCAAATCATCATTAGTCATAACATACTTTGCCTGATTATTTCCTTCATCTAAAACACACCCTGGGTGATAACAATATCCGCAACCCCAATAGCCATTAAATTGTTTGATGCACTGAACCAAAGGCTTAGCAACAGAATCAACAATACAATTAAAAACCATTAATTTGCTATGAATTTTTTCTCCATTTGGTGCTTTCCAAGAAAAGCCTGATTTATATAATTGATTCAGCTCTTTCAAAAATGGACTAAGAAATGCCAGCATGTTCGGGTCTTTTTTTCCAAACCACAATCCCCCAAGAATAAAATTATTTTGATTAAACCTACATTGAGGGGGAAGCTCATTTAAACGTATTATTATTGGCCAGTTTGTGTTCTTTGTACTGTTAAAAATAGAAATACCATCCGTCGAAATACAACAACTCAGATTGAATGGATTAAAAAGAAAGTTGCCATTTTTGCAAAGTTCCTTGTATTTTTCACTATCATAAATATCTGATTTTTTCGCTAGACTCTCTATTCCAGCGATAGTTTAACAATTCTATTATATCTGGTGTTGTTTCTAACAGGTCTACAATTTGTTGACGAAGTGAAAGGGTTATAAAAAAAGATCCATTATTTAAATTAAAAACAGAACACTCCTTAGAACATACTGGACAAGGGCAAACCCTGATCTCATTTCCTAGCTCCTTTGTGTCACCAATATACGCCTCACAATCAGAGCAATAAAGATGCACTCTGTATGGAAGGTTACTTCCAAAAGTTTTCTTGAACCAATATTCACTAGTATTGATTACATCTTCTTCAAAAAGACAGTTTATAAGCTTACATAAATCTTCCATGGCTACAGTTGGAAGGCTATGTCGAAGTGAGAAAGTAAGAACCATGAGCATGCATTCAAATTTTGTTGTTGTAAAACCATTTTTTAATTTCCTTTGAAGATCTGGATTTTGTTGTAGATTGAAACCATTATATTCTTCATCCGAATTGCTGTCATCCACACTCGAATCAGCAGGTGAAATTGGATAGCTTGAAACTTCCTTACAAACGTAAACACAAAAGAAATAAAAATGTGTTAATAAAATTTAGGATTTTTCAAACAGTACAAAAGACTGCTGTGCACATTCTTCAAGTTGTACAACACAATTGACGTTGCATCCTCACTAAACCTTGATTTTTTACTCACTTGAAGATCATTGTCAGAATCAGATACATCTTTGTTCATTTGATTTGTTAAAAATGTTTCTTGTTCATGCACAAAAGAAGTACATGATCCATTTTCCATTCCATGTAATTCATCCTCATCGTGCCTTCTTTCATCGTACTGGTTACAATTCTAAAAATACTCAGTAATTTTAGGTAATAGTAAATTAAGTTATAATTTCAGAGAAATATATAACCTTCTTTTTAGAAAAAAGTATAATGTAAAATATTAGATTTTTGTAAATAATTTTGTGTAAAAATTTTTATTGTAACAAAATATAATAGTTAATAATTTTGTAATTAAAACTTGATTTTTAATGCAATAACCTGTACACAACCAGCATCTAATATGTACTGATGATCTTGTAGTTGAATATTATCTGCAACTTCTTGAAAAATCTGTCTGTTCTCTTCTTGTTGCTCCAATTTTAATCTTGTGGTTCTCGGAAGTACAGGATTTAATGAGGTTAAATATCCTCTATATCGTCTTTTTGGCAGAGAATAATCGTTTTCCATTCCAAAGAACAAATCTTGATTGCGATATTTATGATCCAAACTTTCTTTATGATGTTACAATTGTACACTTCGCAATAAACAGCCAGTTTTTGGCCTTTTACATTAAAAATCAATGTTATCCAACGTTATCCAGCATCTTAAGATAAATTCAAGCGGTCTTAAATATAACATCTGACTATCAACACCGATCTTAGTTTCTTTAATATGCATGTCGAAGAGCCCGCGCGGCCGCGCGATGGAACAAGTGAAAAACGATTTCGATGTGTAATTGTCTAAGGTCGCGGTCACGTCGTGACGAAGCTGTGCTGTGGTCGTGGACATTGTGGTGCTAATAACAAAATTATCATCGTGTGCCATTCTTAGACAACGCTGCATTAAATTCAAGTAAGCATATTGCCTTTACTTTTGAGACAAAGAAATATTTGTGTCTATTTACACTTTCAAGCAGTTCTAAATGTGGAAATTTTTCGCGCTAGCGAAAGTTAACCTAATTGTCGATATATCAACAAATAAAGGCTACCTTTGCGCGTAATTTACATACATGTACATCAAAATACAATGTACAAAATCAGTTGAATTTAGAATAGCCACCAATCCTATATCGCATTATCATACTTATTGTTCTTTTTATACTATTTGTAGATCAAGTTAGTCGTTGACAAAAAGATGTGGTGCTGGGTCAAGTTTGTAGCTGACAAATCAGAAATAATAAGACCTTTGGAATTCTTTGAAAATTTTAGAACTATAAAATTGGAAAAAAATAAGGAGTACCAGGTATTCTGGTCCAAAGAGGATGTCGACACTCCAGAAAAGCTACTCAAGAAAGAAGGGAAAATTATATACGTAGATAATGTAAAAAAAAGAAACAGCAAAACACCTATTCCAGGGTATTATCGGGCAGTACTGCTACAATTTGCTGGTAAGTTTCCTTACACTATTATTCGTGCCAGCTCATTTTGACTGTTCTTTACAATTTACCGGTTTACTTTATGACCATTAGAAACTGTCGAAGAATTAGAGAAATCCCTAAATGAGAAGCGAGTATCTTTTTCCCAAAGAAAATTGGGCAGCTATACACAAGTCGAGAAAGTAAGTTACTCCATATCCAATTGATTTTTGTCTTTTCAAGATTTTAAAAT